GAGAGGGATGCTGGGTCTAATCGCATAGGAACAATTTCTCCCCTGTCGGTGAATGCCTTAAAGGACTTCTCACTAGGTTTGGGCATTTCGAGCTGACAAATGTAATGGTGCACTGGGCACTCTGGATCATTCCTGTTAAGGTTTGCGAAATTACATGTTGTGGTAAAACGCTCAATTTAATTAATGCCTTTAAGTTGAAATTGGTGGGCTGACGTCGCATACTATACGCTATTCATCAGAACTTTATTAAATACTAGCTATATCTAGAAAAACGGATGAAAAATGTCCCATCTCCTGATTGTATGCTGCATTTTAAATGGTACCTAATAAAGAGCGTTGCACGTGACATTACTTAGCATGTGCAATTTGTGTGTTCTGTTGTGTAGCATGAATGAGGAGTACTTTGATTTGAACTGGCTGCTTCATATCATTTTGAAAGGGAAGCTCAAAGACAAAGAGAAAGGAAGGACAGCGCTCTTTGTTTCAATGTTTTTCTTTTCCCTGTGTCATTTATTTATTTATTTATTTATTGCACTACCTTTCGAAATCAGTTTAATGAGTTTAATGAATGAAAGCTGAGAAAAATGTTAAAACACACAAATGGAATCTCAGCTTATTTTTATTTTTGTTTAGAATAGCCTCGAGGTGGCCCCGCCGCGGTGGTTTAGTGGATAAGGTACTCTGCTGCTGACCCGCAGGTCGCGGGCTCGAATTGCGGCTGCATATTTGATGGAAGCGGAAATGTTGTAGGCCCGTGTGCTCAGCTTTGGGTGCACGTTAAAGAACCCCAGGTGGTTGAAATTTCCGGAGCTCTCCACTACTGCATGTCTCATAATCACATCGTGGTTTTTCTATACAAAACAACACATACTACCACTACTACTGCGGCTACTACTACTACTACTACTACTACTACTACTACTACTACCCCATTTCACTTGGGTTCGTCTTCTCATGGTTCCTGCATCATGCCTTCGCCAACCCTGACAAGGTTTAGCTTGTGCTTGGTGCGTCGTCTCTCACCACATTTGCAGTGGAGTGACGTGGTGTGTCACGGTCACAATACATGATCCTTGCCAACCTCCCCTAAAGTACACGCACTGTCTGATCCTCCCACAGAGACTGGTAATACACAACAGAGAACGCCGAAACTACACAACTTCGATGGCGTAGGTGTACAAGTAGGCTGGGGAACGTCATGCGTGCGTGACCTTGCTTTAGCATCTTATTCTTGCTGCCTATGCATCATGTGATCCTCCAGCCCCGATACCGAAGAGAACAGGGAAGGAGTGAGGCTTGCGATGGCTACATGGCAAGAGAGGCAAGGGATTCAAGCTTGCTTCTTCGGATCATGCTTTGGTGGCTCGTAGCGAACCAATTTAAAAAATCACCATGGTAGAATGCTTTTCATTGGGCACGCAAGAACTTCTAGTGTCTAACTACAACTTATTATGTCACCTAGAGAGGGACGCTTAGAAAGTAAATTACAAACAAAACAAAAGCTGCATGCACATCACATTTTTTACCCAAGGGCGCTGACGCAGATGGGTTACAATGTCAAAGAAAACACGCTTTTGTTCACACAACACACTTTGATCTCTTTATAATCCATTTCATTCTGTCATGAAACTAACTAAAAAGGAATAATAGAAAAATTATAACTGATACGACATTCTGAATTCTCAACTACCACTGCGTGAAGAGGACTGTTTAGGTACATACATTTTCGAATGTGGGTTTTAGCATGAAAAGCTTGACATAGGAGCTCTAACCGCAGTTTAATTCGACGCGATGATAGTAATTTCTAGCCTACTTCATTTTTCATATTATTACAGCTGTCATTTTTAAGTAATGGCTTAGGACAAACCTTGAAGCCCTGTTCTGTATTTTTTTATGTTTGTCACTTAAAGACATATGACAAAGGATCTCATACGGAACAAGCGTATTCAAGCATATGGGGAATATATGCTAAATACACCGCTGATTCTAAACATGCTGGCACCTGTCTCAGGCTTCGCTGTGTAAAGTATAACAATTTGGCGACCTTCGCCGTTACTTAATCAACAAGCATTCTATGAGTGGCGCCCCATGGTTTTTCATTAGTTCTCCAGCTACCTGCGGCTGCCCAGGAAAACCTGCTGCTCCTTTCCCACCACAACACCCAGGTCTTCAAGGCGGTTCTTGAGTTCTTTGAGGGCACTTGACAGCTTTCTGTAGAAGGCGGTCGTCGCGTACTCGGCCATAGACGTTACTTTTCTTTTCTTATCCTTCTTTAAATCTCTCTCCTCCTTCCCCTGCAGACACTGAGGCGTGCTTCTACTTAGGGCTGCAGAAATTGTGCCTTTTGCACTTCTCATGCTCCTCCTCCAATCGCTCGCAGCATTTCAACTTTGTCTTCCTTGAACATTATAGAGTTTGAAAATATCAATGTTGCCTTTTTTTACCTGAATAAAGGTTTCACACCACACTCGAAAACGAAATTCGGGCTTGAATAGCGCTCATATAGGGAGTCATTTGGAAAATAGGCATTTAAAGGCATTGAGGCACAAACATCTAAAATAGGCATTTATAGGCTATAAAAACATCATAAAAGCCCTTCTTAACCCCTAATTCATGCTCATATATGAAAATGGCTCAATAGGAATGCAAGGAACAAAATAGGCATTTGCTTATAATCCGGTGTCTAGTTATAACAAACCTCAGATTAATAATTTTTTCAGGTTAATAAATATTTCAGAAATCCTCTTCTAAATGTCCAGTGGTTCAGTGTAAAGATATTTCAGAACAACGAATCTTTCAGTGTAATGTATGGCACTTGATCACCTTGTTTCAGTTAGGGCTTTAGAATAACGAATTTGAAAGTAAAATATGACTTGCGACAAATAAAATGCACAGCTCCATATTTTGCACTATCATCATCAGAACTTTGGCTCATTTCTCTACATGTTGCCCTATGCCAGACGTGGCTATTGCTGTGCCTTCTATCATTTTTGCATCCTCGTTGAGCCAGGTTCAGCCTCACCTTGCAGTCTTGGTTCTGTCTATCGCGAATGCTGCACAATTATCATTTACGAGTTAGTATTAGACCAAATCCTGGCTAGATATTCGTTTCTGCGTTCACCATTTGCCATAAGCATTGTTAGCAGCATGAAAAAGAAGCAGAGGCAGTGCAAGGAAAAGTAGACATCTTGTCTCAAATGGACGCCGGTAAAGAACAGATACACATCGCAAACGACATGGGGTTGCACCATCAACTGTCGCAGCCACCCTAAAGGATCGGCGTAAGATCATCAAGATGCACCGAGGGTCCGAGCTCGCACCGCCAAGAACATACGATTAGGAAACTTCCAAGACGTGGATGCTACAGTGCTCACTTGGTTCCAAAACTACTCACATTCTCTAAATGTACTGGTGTCAGCACTTCAGGAAAAAGTCCATCACAGGCTTCGAAACAGGCGCGTTGTGGCTCCACTGTTTCTGTGAGAGAAATAGAATCACCTGGAAAATGTTGTCTGTTGAAGAGAATGCGGCAGACACAGCGAGCACTGCGGCATGGTGCGACAAAACGCTCTGCGAAATTGCCGCCTCATATTCAATGCAGACGAAATGCCGTTCTATGTGGAGCATCTTGATGAAACTAAGCATTGTAAGGGGAGCAGCTATAATCAGCAAGCTGTCTAAACTCGGTATTTTGGTGTTCTGCTGAAATGCCGCAGGCACCAAGAAGCTACAACTCTTGGTAATGGACAACTACAAGAAGCCTGGGTGCATGAGGAATGTTTCATTGCAGTGTGATTGTCGAGCCAATTCGCATGCATAGATGACACGGGAGCTGTTCTCCAGGTGGCTAGATGAAGGTGGACAATGAGATGAGACGTGCAGGCAGGAAAATGATAATTATTACCGACAGATGCGGGGTGTATCTTGTGAATGTTAGGCTGTATAATAAGCTGCTATAATTCTCTTTTACCTAACTGCACTTCATTGCTACAGCCACTGAACAAAGGCATCATAAGAAGCGTCACGGCCTAGTACCGCAAGCGCCTCGTGCAGAGATTGCTGGTTAATCTTCGGATGAAGCTGCTTACATCAGTCGGTGTGCGACAGGCCGCATAATTGGTTGCCGGGGCTTGGTGGAACGTTACAGCAACCACCAACGAGAGTTGCTGGATGAAAGCAGGCTTGGTATCTCTTCCATCTCAAACTGAAGGCAAACGAGACAGCGAAGAAAGTGTCGCGAGTGGCATGTGGTAAGAAGTCGGAAAAAAACTCGTGATGGGTGCCAAGGTGACGTACAAATACTATCTACAGCGCGACAATGAAGCATGTACATCAGCCACTGATCATCTATGATATCGTCAGCTCCATTGGCGGTGATGCAAATAATAGGGACGAGGACGCCAAGGGTGAAGATGACACTAAGGCTGTGCCCGTGAGCCAGCCCGAAAGATCACATTTGTGCATTCCATGCCGGCGTAGGACCGACATGGAATGCATGGCAGAAATGCGCACTTACCTTGGCAGGTGCAATAATGCCACTGACGAAGTTCATGACAATGTGAACAGCTTCAAAGTGTTTGACCTGCAAAAGTTGAGCAGCACCTGCTTGGTCAAGACCATAAACTTTTTTAAATAAATGTGGGCTCTCTCCCGGACACTTTGCGATCTGTTTCTTTTCATGCTCATCATAGAAGCACGCGTTTGCAGATGTGCACCTAGCAAAGGTAGGTTGGTGACTTTTGCTGCGTTTTTCCGCAGTCTCTTCAAATCTGCTTTAAAAGATGAGAATGGGAAGAAATCCAAATCCACACTCGACAGCTAGGTTTACCAATGCTACAAAGGTATCAAGAACAGGGCCTAGTGCTATAAAAGGCTCTACATTTGCAGGAGAAAGAAGCATACAATCTGTCATTTTTCATTATTCTTTCTGCTGTCTTCTACAACATTGTTGCTTTGGCAGCAGCATTACTTCATGTTTGCTGTGTCTCTCATATATGCAGTTCTGGCAGCTTGCTGGCATCGTGTACGAAGAACTGGTCTGCTACGAGGTGCCGTCCAACGGATGTGGTGATGGATCAACAGGACGACCACTGCAGCTTGACCAGCTCCCCAGCCGAATCTTGGAGCACATCTGCTCCTACCTCAAGGTCAGCGATGTGTTGGTCACCAGAAATGCGACGAGAGGACACTAACAAACCATGTAATGTCTGGGTAAAGCTTGTTACGGTTTCTTGTGCTCTGAGCCCATGATAATCACTAGAGCTTTTAATACTTAACACTTGCAAGGTCACCAACCATTTCTCTAGCCATACTGCGCAGAAATGTTGTAAGCAACTGGCACAGTGCCGTCTCCAAGTCTTGTCAAGTGCCTTTACCTACCTCATCTTGTCAAGTGCCTTTACCCACCTCTGCATTTGTGTTCGCCAAATATCTGTGTTCCTGTGTTAGCAGTGTAAGTAGTGGCTGTTTACAAAGTCTGTAAAGTAGTCTAGCTTTTCGTAGCTCACTTGCACTCGTGAACTCCATTTTTTTCGTTAATGTGACCTTGTTACTCACGAATACCAAATAATGTATGGCCAACATAAGGATTGTGCCTTTGTTTCCAGAACAGTGAGTAATAAGAACTTGTGATGTTTTTCTTTTAATGTTTCAAATACTGGTTCTTTCTGTTTAAACTGTGTTGAAGTGCTCACTGTAAAAGATTTTAAGCACAGCATTTAAGTCTACACTAGGCTTCTGCGAATATTCAAATGCTTCAGTTATTCAAATAAATAGTTGAGTATTTGAATTCCCTTTGATTCGAATTGAAATTATTGAATACTTTTCAAGTATTCACAATGAACGAATGGGTGTATATTAATCCGTATGTCATTGCTTGTAAAGGTGGTTTCACTACAGTGTATGATTGCTAAGCCGTAAAAGCACGTATCAAGGGGAAATTTGCTTTGCCGCGAAGCCCTCCTTAAAATTTAAAGGGGCCCTACAACACTTATTGCACACGGTCAGAAAACGCTGCCGATTGGTATCGAGGCTACCGAGAACACGCGAGGCAAATATTACAATGTAGCACGCGGCTTGTAATTCACAATAAATTTCAAAGCTAAAAATTACTTTTTTTCCTTTGCAAATGACACTACAAGCTCAAAAATTACTTGTCACAGCCAAGAAGGAATATACGGCTTTGGTCACAGCCACTGGCCGATTTGAGCATGGCGCGCTCGTCATTACCGGGGCCGCCGCGGGATGCCACCGCTTGTCCACGAGTATGTGCGCAATCGCACTGAAAATCCACGTACTCGAAGAAAGAAAAAAAAGTAAGAGGTGCTCAAGGTCACGAGGTGCATGTTTCGTATTTTTTTTTCGCCATGCCATTCCTGCTTAACGTCCAGCTACTTCGTGGGACAAAAAGAAAGAATGCAATTGCAGCGTGCGATAAATTTTTGGAACTTGGCTTGTACTGAACTGATTCTAGAAATTTACGGCGGTAAATTTTTGAGGCAACAAGCATGTTTACTGGCTCCATGCCCAGGTGAAAATTTCCTGCTAGTTTTCTGATGGTTCCAGCAGTGGTGGTTTATTAGCACATTCCCAGTGGCTATTGGGAACAGCAGTTGACGGGACCAGCAGTTGATGGAACCAGTAGCTCAAACCAGCAGCTGCTGGTTCCAGCTCAGGGTCGCATACATATACAGGCAGACTTTTTACTCACCGGGGTGGAGAACATCTCCTACCAACAAGGTGGCACCCACACAAACTTAAATGCATGCATGTTTCTGCTCACTTCATTGGAAATTTAGAGTTGGAAAAACATGTAACTTGGCTATCCTGGTTGTGCCATATGATTAGTAATTAAGCCAGTGCTCCACATCCACATGGGCGTTAAACAAACAGTCATATTTTTCAACATTCATTTTGCTTTGCAGCAACAAATTTGTTGCAGCTACAGTTCAATATTGTTCGGTGCTTTTGTATTCATCAAATAGCTGCTTGCACAGCTTTGCCTTTAATAGATCTTGTATTTTTTTCGTCGGGATCCGCGTCAGATTTTTTTTCCGCTTCCGCAGTTTCGATTTTTTTTTCTCAGCCCCAGTGCTTGAGTGTTTCTACAAATAGAAAGGTTGATTTTCAGCATTAGAAAACAAAAATCAGTGATTGTGGCAATGACATTTGCTACGCCATACAGCTAGAGCTCTGTTTTGAGCACTAATGTTCTCACACCGGTGAGGAATGCACGACTTGTATGTTTCACAAACTCTGGAAAACCTTGTTTGGTATTAGCCATTGTGCCTGCGCACTGCAACTGATAGCAATACAATCTGGTGCACTGCAGTCTCATGTGCAACAGAATATCCTAGTCAAGCTTAGTAGCCTAAATGCACCCCATTCAAATTTAGTGTAATTCAGAGATATGTATTTTCATAATTCCAGCACTAAGTCAAGGTTATCTGTTTTCACCCTATAAATCTAACTCTAGTTTGATGACCTACTATAAAGTAGCATAAATTTTGCTATCTCATTTCCATTTATGCGGCCAGGCTTTGTAAAGATGACTTATTGCATGCAACGGTATCGGCAAGAACTGTGCTGCGGAAAGCGATTTGTGCTAGTTGTACCTGATACCACAAGAAGTTTTTCAGGGCTCAGGGGTTGGTGCGGCAGCTCGCCCAACGCTCTTTTCTTTGAGCAAACTGTTCCGGTGACGCTCTGAGAAGTAAGCACATCGCTTCCCCATATGGCTTGTGCAGTGTCTTTCACAACCAAGCTTGGTTTTTTGTTCCCAAATTTTTTTTTTCGCACGTGCCACTTATGATGCCATTCATAAAATGGAACTGTGAAAAAGGAAAATAATGGAGCAACTTTAATTTCAGCTGCCTAGAGGTTACAAGAAAAGACAGCATCAACATCAATACATAAACAATACACAGCAGTCACAGCTGTCTTTGAAATGCATTTATGGCTGTGAATCTAGGAGCAGCAAAGAACTGTACTGTAAGCAATATTGAAACAAAAAACGCTGTATGTTAGTAGCCAGGCTACTTGAAAAAGTGTTGCAGGGTCCCTTTAAACGAACATGTTACGCTCAAATGAATTCGTCATTTTATTAAGCTTGTTATGACTGCTTATATGCTGAATGTATAGCAAATTTTAAGACATAAGTATCTTAGAGGTTATCACTCGCATCCTACCGAAACTACTTCTCAAGGTTGTTTCGACTTCCTTTGAACAAAAAAAAAATGGCATTTGCATAGAGCCCCTATTTCAATTCAAAAGAAATATTGTGCAGGTTAGTTAAGTCATGATAAATATTCTTTTTTTATATGTCATACGTGGAATTCCAATTCGCTTTGAACCTAAAATTCACTCTTAGCACAATCCTAGTCTATACACATATTTTAATTGTGTATTTGATACCTGTCAACCCCTGAATAATGTAGATAGACACACTAAGGATAGTTGAAGCATAGAATCGACAACCATGGTGCCCACGTCAGTCTTGCAGCTGTGTGCACTCGTTCTAGCATTTCATACTAAACTTTTCGTGGGCATCACTGGCAAAGGTGTGTGTAATGGTTGAGTGTGTCTTTTCACTGCTTTTATAAGGATTGCAATGAAGGTAGTGTACATGCGGCTTGACCCAGAGAGAAGAAAAAGACTATGCGAGTGATCGGCACCCACGGTGCTAATTAGCCCTTGTGGTAGTAAAGGTGATGTGCAGTTGTCGCGACTCTTGCCTTTAAAACACCCTTGTTTGATTTGGTGGAGGTGCTGGGTAATGTCTGGCTGCATAGTTCAAGCAGTTCTAGGATGAAGACCGCGTATACCTCGCAACCTGTCACGATGGCTGATTCCGGACCGTCTCAGGGTGCTCCTGATGCCACACCAAGACCCGCTTTCCTCCCTGGCGTACTTCGGCAGCGTGATCTACCTGTATTCAGTGGTACAGATAACCATGACGTGGAAGACTGGCTTGCCGAGTGTGAGCTGGTGGCCGCTTGCAATAGGTGGGATGCCAGCGAGCAGCTGACAAACCTGTACTTCTACTTAACTGACGTTACAAGACCCTAATACAAAAATTGCCAGACCGATTGCACCACCTGGACGGATTTCACGATGTTCACAGAGGCCTTTAGACACCCTGCTGTACATTTGCTTCGAGCTGAACAGTGCTTGAGTGGCAGAGTCCAAAGACAGGGTGAAACGATGATGAGCTAGATTAAGGATGTGCTTTCTCCATGGAAGCTCGTTGACTCATCCCTGGACAAAGGCAAGATCAAGCACATTCTGAAAGGCATTGATGACAATGTATTCCAGGTGCTAGGTACGAAAAGTCCTCAAACGGTCACAGATGTCATCCAGCTCTGCCAGAGTTACGATGAGCTGTGCAAGCAGCACGCTTCCACACGTAGCGCTGCTCAAGATACTGCAGATCTTTCATCTCGGGGCTTACGTTTTGACAGCGCCGATCATACAGCTTCTCTTCCACGGATAAAGCAGATAATTCGTGAGGAAGACTCACGGCAGCTCTCTATGGTCACCACCTGATCGAAGCCAATGGCGTCCTTGACACCTTTTCTTCGTTGAGTCAACGATATGTAGATTGCAAAAGCATTGCCCTCTAGTTCGACTCCATTGCCTTTGCAGCCCACTCACCTACGCTGCCATTGTTGCTCAAATGTGTGCTTCATTGCCCATCCCTGCCTACCAAGCTACCGACAGATTTTACACTTCTTAGTAACTACTGACATATCCCCCTTCAGTTCCTTATTCAGCCAATGGTGCCTTGGCCCTCAACCCATGGCGCACCCAGAATAATCGGCATATATGTTTTTTTTTTTGTGGCCTTTCAGGTTACGTTGCCCACCATTGCTGTCGTCGCAGCTTCCTTCTTCGTGAAAGTGCTGGGGCCTGAAACTACGTTCAGCCTCAACCGTCATATGTCGCGGCCACCATCTTCACATTTAATCTCCCCATGCCGTTGCTGCGACTGATTCTCCAGACTCGACTAATAGTCGCCGACCATCCGATATGCACTGGTCAACTTTTCAACGGCGATTCATCTCCCCAACGCTACTTGATTGCAGCCCGCCACGAGGAGAAACTGATAGCTGTAGTTCCAAAGGCAAGAGCTGCGTTACTGTCGAACATTTCAAGACCTAATTTTTGTCCTCCGAACTATCTGGCGTAAGTGTACTTGCCCTTGTTGACACTGGAGTTGCTGTATCTGTCATTAGCAAAAAACTCTGCTGCAACTTGAACAAGCTGACCAATCCCCTTACCGATATCTCTTTGCTAAGAGCATCGTCGCACCACCTTCAGCCATCGACATTGTGCACTGCACAAGTTGTCATTCAAGGTGTCTTACCGTATTTTTGCACGTATAACCCGCCCCTGCATATAATCCGTACCCCCACTTTCAGCTCACCGAGAAAGAAAAAAAAAAAAAATACTCGCGTATTGCTCGCACATTTGATATACAGGAAAGGCTGTACAAAAGCTACTGCTCAAGCAACATAGCACATATGTAGACAGAAAAAGCTTTATTTAGCAAGCAGAATACGCTGTCTGCAAGGCCAGTCACAATTCACTCACTGTCGCTGCTCTCGCTAGAGCTATCACTTGAGCCGCAGTCCTCACTATTATGCACAAGGTCATCTTCGGTTCCATCCATGTTGTTTGTGATGCAGCATTTTTTGAAACTTTTTCCCACCATCTCACCTGGAATGGCCATTCATGCCTCGACAATCCACTTGCAGAATAGGGCAATATCAGGCCTTCGGACTTGTCCTG